CAGACTCTCCGTGTGTTTGGCACTTCTTAAAAAGACAAAAGACAGCCGAGGAAACGTGGAGATGGTTTTATTCGAGTCTGAATGAGTGTGTGTGTGTGTGTGTGTGTGTGAGAAAGATCTGCTTCTTCTCACACTTGCCAGACCTCAATGATTTGAGACACACCGCTGTCAGAGTAATAATACAGAGATAACACACTTTAACACATCTTGTAATACTCTAAGTGTGTGTGTGTGTGTGTGTGTGTGTGTGTGTGTCGCCTATAATTTAATCTAAAATATCTGTTAATTTACACACTAAGCATTAAAGTGGAGAACATCGCCATGAACTTTGATTTATTTTACAGCCAAAGAATGTCCTCCAGTTTCCTTCACTGTAACTTTAAGAGCTTATATTTTATTTAATGTTTCAGACGTTGCTAAGTTGAGCAAACATGTTTCACTTTACTGTATAGATTTTCAGCACATGTTCAACATACTATACGATTTTTTAAGATGTCGAAAATATTGAAAAAAATGTCAGTATAAGTAGAATGTCCACGTTTCGTTTTTACACATTTTCGACACACTGTACTACAAAGTCGTATTTGGACGAGGAACATAACTATAAGAAAGCTTTCTGATGAGTTTGAATAATCAGAGCGTGAACATTTTGCGATAAATAAAGAGAATATGTAGAACAGGAGAGCAAGTACAAAAAGCTCAGAAAAAACGTTTAAAAAAAACCCAGAGAAAAGGAAAGAGAGAGTGAGCTTTGTGTGAGGCAGCCCTAATCATTGCACGCACCACCGCTTCTCTAAAGACAGCTGGGAACACACACACACACACACAGCAGAGGAACCCTGGAGCATGCAGAGAGTTTGTGTTGCTTCTGATTCGAGTCGCTACCCTCCAGTGAACACACACACACACACACACTTAATCACGTCCTTCCCCACAGACATCTCTGCTGTCAGAGAGGTCAAGGGTCACCAAGTCGAGCGTCAGGCAGGGTTAACGAGAGAGAGACATTTGGATTATTGGTATGACAATGATGTGATTTACCTGCTGGAGAAGCAACTTGGCGATGATCCACTCGCTCTCATTGGTTGAAGGTAAGTACATGCACTCAAGTACAAATAGCAATTAGCTTAGCTTAGCATAAGTGAACCATTGAAACAATTAAACCAGCGTATAAATGGCACATTTGGTACATCTCGTTTTATAGTGACAGTATGGGATTTAAAAGTTAAAATGGCTTCCTTGACACACAGACAAATCAAATTAAGTCACTTTCTTATAATACACACAATAAATGTTATTCCATTAAATGTCTGAAGTGAATGTTTTCAACTTAGAAAACACGTACAAGTCCCAAGCTAATGCTAACACGAGCCTCCAAGCTAATGCTAACACGAGCCTCTGCTATACAAGTGATTTAAACATGAAATAAAAGTCTGGACAAAGTATTCATATGTGTTGCCGTTTTATTAGTATTTGACTTAAGTTTCATTCATAAGTGGTTTTAATACAACAGCGTATACAGTGCTTCTGTCTCAGCAAAGAGTTCTGCTTTTTACAAAATACAAAACAAAGTAAACGGCAACGCCTGCAGCGAGAGGAGTCTGGACAAAGAACAAAGGTAATGTACTAATACAACTAGGAAGTGAGTTTGAATGGACATTCTGCAAACCGTAAAGGATCAAATGCTACAACGAATACTTAATTGATATCGCAGAAAGCGTCCAGACTCCAAACGCCACAGTGTTGGCGCTTCATTGGCAGGAAAATAACCCAAAATACAGCAAAGGCACATTCAATAACGACGGCCCGTTCCCTTTCTAACACCTAGAAGTGATACACAGCGTAGGATGGATGGAAAACACACACACACGTGAAATCAAACACACATGACGCGTGGTCGCTCAGTAAATCAAACATGGCAACATATTGTAAGGAAGAGGAAGACTTAAATTCCCATCTGACACACACACTGTACGTTTGAATCCCTTTTTAAAACACACACACACACACACACACACACACACACACACACACACACACACACACACACACACACACACACACACACACAGTTTCCAATGCTATTATTGCACCCAAGTTGAAGGAAAAACAAGCAACAAAAAGACCCATATAAGTTAATAAAAATAATCTAATGTAATATGTGCTGTGCTCCAACTAAACAAACCTACACACACACACTGCTTGGTTTACGGAAGACATAAATGTGTGTGTGTGCTTGGCGTTACAAGTACAATGGTTCCTATACAACATTAGTCTATTTGTCAATTTTGGGGGGCGAACTTCTCTTTAAGACCCAGTTATACATTTAGAGTAGAAAAAACGCTCTGGCAACACCTGATCAAGTTTGACTGGAAGCTGAGGAATGGGTTGCCATGTTTGGACAACATCCCCTCTTTTAAACCCCCACTTTGTTTACAATCGTGAAGAAGAGGGAACAAGGTTGCCAGGTCTGAGCATTGTCGCCCATTCAAGTGTTTGCAGGTTGTATATATCGAGGGGAAAGGGTTGCCATGTTGCGTTAATATCCCCCTTTATTAGACAACACTGAAGGAACATTCTAGTTTTTTTTTTTTTTTTTACAGACCTCATCTTGATCTCAGTGCTTTTCTGGCTGCTTCCTCTCTGATGTACATTCAATATGTTGTGCCACAGTGAGAAAAGAGCAACGTGGAAGACATGAAAGGAGAATATAAAGAAGGGGAGGACACACTGCTTACATTTTAGGAATTGGAAGCTTGTGGTACAAAGAAAAAAACCTCTGGAAATGTGACTTCTTACAAAAAGAAAGGCTACCAAGCTGCACACCTAGAAATATGTCAAATGCAACAAGTAGATTGAGAGTTTTAATAACTACTTTTATCGCTAGTTTCAATAACCACATCGTTTCAACAACATATGCCACTTTAACGTTGACTTTTGTGGGAACAAGATCTAATATGATAAGTAAGTAATTTGGTAATAAGATAACTGAACACGTCTTTCCTTACTCGTCTCCAATCAATAGACTACTCAGATTGGATTAAGGGCAGTAACTAACCTATAACATGGCTAAGTTAGGGGCTGATATCCAGGAAGAGGCGTGTTCAATGAACCGCCACGACGTCGTTTGTTCAGTGGAGTTTGGCGAAGTTAAGGTGCATGGATCAGCAGACGCTTGCGAAAACAGAACGATGAAGGCAGGATGGTGGAAAACAGCCAATCAGGACGGGGGCTTCAGGCCTGCGGGCCAATCAGACGGCTCGCTTCAGGCCTGTTGCTGGGCGATGAGGTTACGCAGCTGTTTGATGATGGTGTCGATGAGTTTCTGTCGGTCTCGGTCCGTCTTCCTGAACTGAGCGAAGACGTTGTTCTTCCTGCTCGTCTCCCTCATCCTGGAGCCGGAGAAGAAACGAGAAATGAAAGAGAATAACAAACAAAGAATGGTGCGTTTTAGTATTTAACACCGGATGCTGTAAGTAGACCAATATGCAAACACACACAAGTGCTAAATCGTACGAGCATGCTCAGTAGAGACACACACACCCTGCTACTGTCACCTGTGTGTGTGTGTGTGTGTGTGTGTGTGTGTGTGTGTGTGTGTGTGTGTGTGTGTGTGTGTGTCACTATCTCAGACTCTGATGTGGGTGTTGTTGAAGTGATAACATCGGTATCATCAGGACAAGAGTGTATGTTGCATGTGTAATAAGGATGTGCGTGTGTTAACCCGGGTTAATCCCTCGCCTTCTTGTATGTACACGCTTTAGTATCTGTACACATGCCTTAATCACACACACACACACACACACACACACACACACACACACACACACACACACACACACACACACACACACACACACACACACACACACACACACACACACACACACACACACACACACACACACACACACACACAGATACTCACGGCTTAAGTACCCTGCCACAACATGATGAGAGGACAGATAGGAAGCAGAGAGCAGTGGATTGGAGGAAAGACGGATGGAGAACTCAAACTCAAATAAAGATGATTATCAGTATCGACAAATCCTTTTTCGGTTGAAATGAAGGTTGAGCATTTTTTATCTGCAATATAAGTGACTGCGCCCAATATGTGTATATATTACAATCCTAAGGCAAACCTCACCTTGACTTTGAACTAATGTTGTGATGTTTACCCTATACTGTAGATATGAAATGGTATATGATATAACTTAAATATGGCTTTAATAATAAAATGTGTCATTATTGTAAGTTAACATTGCCCCTTAGATTCTATAAAATGTGTGTGACGGCTTTAAAAGTGAGCAAATGTTCAAATTCCAGTTATATTTAGATTACAACCAAGAGAGATTTGTTGGCAATTAAAAATGATGATTAATTAATTATCAAAATGGCTGAATATTAATGTGTTCTTGTTCATATTGCTGATTAACTGACTAAACCCTTTCTAAACCCCTTTGTAATGGATTAAAGAAGGTATGAGAGGAACAGAAGACAGATGAGCAGATGTAGAGCAGTAGAAGTGTTGTAGATGTGTGTGTGTGTGAGTGAAGCCGTAGATGTGTGTGTGACGGCCCGTCCACACAGCGGCGTGCGTTGAAAGCTTCACCATTCACTTTGAATGGGGTGACGTCACTTTTCGCCGAACTGCATTGTGGGGAGCGTTGCTGGCGTGGCTCGCTGCAAAAGTTGAGCAATTTTCAACTTTTGAAGCCTCGGCAGAAGCGTCAGCCAATCGAATCATATGCCAGTACAAGCTCTAGCCAATCAAACCGCTGCTTGTGTGTCAGGGGCGGGAGATTCATGTGATTGGTTGTTGGTCGAGTTTCAGACACGCCCACCGGCAAGCTTCAACGCACGCCGCTGTGTGGACGGGCCGTGAGTGAAGCAGTAGATGTATTTGTGAGTGAAGCAGTTGGTCAGTTGGGGTGTGTGTGTGTGTGTGTGTGTGTGTGTGTGTGTGTGTGTGTCTCACTTCTCCAGCAGGATCAGAGCAGTGTGTGGATTCACTCTCAGGTATTTACAGCTGGGTTTCCCGTAGTCAGCCAGGTAGGAGCTCCAGTCCCACTGAGTGAACAGCTCCAGCAACTAGAGAGAGAGAGATAGAGAGAGAGAGAGATTCATGTTGAGCAGTGAGAACATAAACAACAACACACACACACACACACACACTAGTATTAGTACACACTGTACCCGAATATTCGTTCGTTGGAGTACTATTCGGGTTTCAATTTCGTTATTCGGATATTTGTTTTTTCCCCGTTTTTTTTTCCAAATAGAATTTATTGAAATCTCCAATATCAACGTAAGCGCTTGTGCCTCTTCGGGGGGTGCTAACACTTCACCATAAACGTTATCGTTTACTTTCTCCGTCTTTATATGTAGATATGACTTTTCTCCGTTAATCTTCGTCGCGTTGTTTCCATAGCAACAACAACTTGATATTAGCCTGAATTGTCAACACGGTTCAGCTCGGCTACTAAAATATATCTACTATCATTATTTCATGGGGAGATCTTAAACACTGCGACGGTTGGTAAAGTTGGGAAACTGTGATGAGGGATCCCTTCATTTAATGTATTAGTAAAAATACTGTGTCTTTATTTTATGAAGTTGTCGACAAGATTCAGTGATCAGGATCCAAAATATATATGACATGTTTCTTCCTTGGTTTAAAATGTGTTCTTGAGTTAACTTGAGTAGGGCTGCTCGATTATGGCAAAAATCGTAATTGCGATTATTAAATGCGATTATTCATTGACTTTGAAAACATCAATTTATTGGAGAAAAAACATTTGAACAGTATGTTTTTGACAGTTGATTACCCTGAACTTCAAGTATAATTCAACTGAAAAGTAGTAAAAATAATAATTAAAAAATAATCGTTTTAT